GCCCCCACGACTGAAAGGGCGAGCATGTTTGGTGGGATGGGGATTCGAACTCGCGACCCTCAGATTGCGAGTCGAGCGCCTTATCTTCCTGGCCATGCCGGGCCAAATGAAAACGTGGGACAACTAATCATTTTTTTTTTCTCTGTTAAAATCACGTATTCGCTTTTTTGCCTAAAATTATTTAATAAAAAGATAAGGCGTCTTTGTTTCAAATGTCACCAAAATAATCACCCAACATGATTTTTTTTAGTGTTATTATTTTCTGGAATTTCCAGCATGATAATTCTAATATTTTCGTTATGCGTGTACTTAGAACTTCATTCTTGCAACTTCTTTGAGCTGTTAAAGATAATTTACTTTACATGTAATGAAACACTCCAAAATTAACTATTATATAGGCTTATATATTGCACATTTTTTTTATAAAGGTGTTTTTTAAGCAATCATTCGTATTGTTTGTTCACGTTTCTTAAAGTTAAATGTAAGTGTCTCTGTCTGTATTTGAATTTAACATGTGTGTGTAGTTAAAGTTATAATTATCAATAGGTTAGGCCCGGCATAGCCAGGTGGTTAGGGCGCTCGACTCGTAATCTGCGGTTCGCGGGTTTGAATCCCCGTTCCACCAAACATGCTCGCCCTTTCAGCCGTGTGGGCGTTATAATGTGACGGTCAATCCCACTATTCGTTGGTAAAAGAGTAACCCAAGAGTTGGCGGTGGGTGGTGATGACTAGCTGTCTTCCCTCTAGTCTTACACTGCTAAATTAGGGACGGCTAGTGAAGATAGCCCTCATGTAGCTTTGTGCGAAATTCATAACAAACCTAACAATCAATATCAACTAAGGCATGTTTTCGTTCTAGTACTTTGACGCAAACAGCTATTACCATAATTGTGTATACCTTTAAAACCGAATAAACCACAACAAACTTCAGAATCCAATAACAAACGACAAAATGATAAAAATATCGATCAAATGATTTGAACATTTTAAAGGACTAAATATATTTGTTTGAAAACGATCCAACAGGTTTCATATTATGCAAGTATTTTCACATTTATAACGGCATAATTTTCATCTCAACATTTCTAAAACCTGATGTTTAAATATGATTAGTTTATGAGATAAATTTATCTGTTGAGAAATACAGTAGTACCACTTAGTTTCTGTCTTCAGATGCATTGATAATTTAATTTTTTGTGAGTTACTACAATAGCAAAAAGTTCCCGCTTTTCACTTAGGCCTACTTATTTATACATGTGGGAAACCTTGTGATGTGTAAAGTATGTATAATTGTTACATGATTAATATTTTTAGCAAGTAATCTAAATTAAAAAACAATATGTTTAGGATGTGAAAGTAAAAAGCTTATTAGCCGATTCCCAAGTAATGTTAGAGGTTTCACCTTTGTGTATATTTTAAACTGTGAGTTAGGTTGATATATATATATATCCAAAGGAAATTAGTTCAATGAAATCCTTCTAATATTTGCTGACAAATGTGTAAATAATTAATTTTCATTGTCGTGATACATTCTAATTATAAAAGTAACAAGGTAAAAATATTTTTGCAGTGGTGTTGAAAGCAAAAATTTATATAATTTGAGGGAACTCATGTTGTACAACATAGCATTTTTTCTTTAGCATTTATTTCGGTTAACCATGCATGCAGTAAAACACTGACTTACTAATATATATAGTTTTTATATACTGAGCTCTTCTTTCCAATGTTTTTTATGTTTGAGTTAAATAATTTTTCTTAAGACATGAAACCAAATTTTAACTACGTCTTGGAACCAAATAAGGTCAATTTGGTTTTGATTAGAATTACCGTAGCCCCATTTCATCAGTCATATTTTTTATTTTCTGCGAACAAATGTGATGATCGGACATAATCACCCAAACCTCTCACTTAATGAGACTGAGCGTGACCCAGTGATTAGCGTGCCTGATTGTGGATCTGTGGATCCCGCGTTTGTGTGTCGTTAGTGGAAAATAAAATAAGACGTTCATTGTCGAATGGGAATGAAACTGTCGTGTAATTACCTACCCAATAATACAACTGCGAAGAAAGTCTATGAAATACAAAATACTGAGAGCGTCAGTGAAAAATTACTGTCATGTGTATCCTGTAGTTAATGAGGCCCGAGTTTAGTTTTAATGTTCATAATCAAACTTTTAATAGTATTCATATGTATGTAAGCTAACATAATTTTGGAATACTTAAAACTTATATGGATAGATTAAGGTAGGAAGTGTTTAGTTTATTGTGTAGTCGTGTATAGTTTTTATCTCCTCTTCTTCACTTAGTGGAATTACTGTACATACTTCACAAAATAATAAATAACTCCGTGACAAGGAATCTTCGTGTAAGTTTTATTTATTTATTTAGCGTATCTGTTTGCTTTGTTATACCGAATAGCAAGGAATCGTCGTGTAAGTGTTATTTATTTAGCGTATCTGTTTGCTTTGCTATACCGAATGGTAAGGAATCGTTATGTAAATTTTTATTTATTTATTTAGCGTATCTGTTTACTTTGCTATACCGAATAGCAAGGAATCGTCGTGTAAGTTTTATTTATTTATTTAGCGTATCTGTTTGCTTTGTTATACCGAATAGCAAGGAATCGTCGTGTAAGTTTTATTTATTTATTTAGCGTATCTGTTTGCTTTGTTATACCGAATAGCAAGGAATCGTCGTGTAAGTTTTATCTATTTATTTAGCGTATCTGTTTGCTTTGTTATACCGAATGGTATTAACAAGATATACCGCTACATCTTGCTCTTCAGTAATGTAAGATCACCTATACTATTGCATACGTAACGAAAATATAATTTCAATACCTTAAAATATGATGTATTTACATAATATTTAACTATAAATAATAATGTCCTGTGTCGAGCAGAGTCCTTGCTGCACGTACAGACTCACACAAATACTGTATTGTTGCATTTGTTGTGACTAAAGCAACAACAATTTTACGCAAAAAAATGTCATATCGACTTTGGTTTAGAATAATAATGAAAAAGGTTCAAAATTCTCTTACGATTAAACAAAATCGGTACATGAAAAAGATGTTGCTGCCCGTATTGTACGTATTTCATGATTTTAAATGTTCAGTGTGACAAAGTTGATTTTCCAACAGTCTTTAACTTTTAACCTGCTTTCTCGTGGTTTAATGAAGGTATTTATTGTTATGTGTTATTCTTAATTGAGTTTACAGTCGATGGCAAAAGCTCTTAACCACAGCAGATTTACTCGTAAGAAGGTATTTGATTGTTGAGTGGACTTAATAAAGGAAATTGTTAGCTTTGCACAAAGATAACTCACTTTTGAACTTTAACCCATTTCTCATCCATTAAAATCAGCCTTGTTTGTACACTTACTTTGTTTGTTTGTACTTCATTTATTTGCTCCCATAACAGCTCCTGAAGACCTTTTTTTTCTTGAGATGATCTCTTTCAAAGTTTGCATTCTGAATTCTTTGCCACTAGAGAAGGCGTGGGAAGGAAATAGGCAAAGAATGTTTGCACACAATATTAAACCTTTCAAGACTCTTGAAGTAAGTGGGCAGACGAGTCTTGTCAACAGCCTAAAACCTTTGATCTTTTAATACATCGTTTCACTTTAAGTTACTTTGATTTTAGTTCCATTCTACAACTACTTTGATGATGTATTTCCATTAATTTAATTTTTGTTTAGCTTTGATTTTTTTTATTCATTTTATTTGATTTTTGCTTTCTTATGACATTTTAGGTTTGTTTGATATACGTTTCCTTAACTTTATCCATTGGCTAATTTCATAAAAAAAACTCATATACACACGTGATAACAGGTGCTGATTATAGCTTATTGTTCAATTCTGTGACAGAAGACCACACAAGAGCCGGAAAAATCTGATGACCTAACCGGGATTTACCAAAATTTGTACTTTCAACTATTTTCAGTATGACTTTTCTTTCTTATTTTTCGGTGTCTATTTCCTTTATTATTATTTAGCACACTTGTGTGCCTAACACACCCGCTAGTGTGAAGTTAGTTTCAATAATCCAAGCCAGACTAGCGACTAAGACCACTATCTTTAAGACAGAAATAAAGTCTGTGAATAACATGAGCAAAATACATTGATTGGTAAATGCATTAACAGGACCATGGGTCCCACTTCATTAAGCGTGAAGCTTAACAGAGGAAATATTTTCTTATGACAGTTGGTATATTCGATAACAGTTGTTATCATTTGACATCGCAACATGACGGTGGGTAGATAGTGTGCCTACAAAAAGATTAACTAATTTGAAAAATAGAATGCTGATTCAGTGAGCAGGAAGAATTAGAAATAGATTGTGAGCGGAATATATTTAGATAAGTAACAGGAACCACAGTAGTTCAAATAAAGCAGATTGCCTTACACTCTAAACGACTTTGATTACTATGTTTAACTTACAAATATTTTATTTTTGTTCTTGGAATGGGACGTTAATAAGATTGAATGTGGATCAGAACTTAACGTTCCGTGAGTAGTAAGAATAAAACCTAGTAAATACTTTGTTGTGATACACGCAGTGGAACAGCACAAATAACTCATTGTGTAGTTCTGCTCTTAACAACAAACTAAGTAAACTATATTCACAGTTAAATTATGCTTTAATTTGAAATTAAGCTAAAACTTACACAGTAAGTTCCTATTAGTTAAAGCAACAACTTCCGTTACCAAGTTGATGATAGAACGCCATACTTATAGTTGATCAATTAACTTAACTTAATACTTGACTTGAGGTTATATACTTAGGATGAAAACGGACTTTTA